GGAGTCAGTTTTAGGGGCCGGTCCATTCCCCAACCCCCCCTGGCTCCTTTCCCAACCCCCCCTAGGGTCGGGTTAAACGGTTCCCCCCCTCACCGGTAACTTCCCCCACCCCCCAAGAAGGTTTAGTTAGGAACCCCTCATTGGGGGAACCCCCCTTGGGGGTCCTTCCCCCCCTCCCAGGGGGGTCAAAAAAAATTTAAAGGTCGGTCCAATTTCCCGGGGCCGGCTTTTCCCCCCCTTTTTCACATTCCAGGGGGTCAAGTTAGAAGTGGGTGCATTCCCAACCCCCGGTTCTCCTCCCCAATCCCAGGGGTCAGTTTTAAGGGGCCTTCCCCCGTCCCTCCCCGGGGGCCGGTTCTTTTCCCCCCCATCCCTAGGGGTCATTTTAGGGGCTCCCCCATCCCCCGGGTCGGAAGCCCCGGTTCTCCCTTCCCACCCCCCCCAGGGGGGGAATTCCATTAAGGGCTCCCTCATTTTTTAATTCGGGGGCCGTTCCCCCCCTCAACCCAACCAGAATAAAGGGTCGTTTTAGGAAGGTCCCGGGCTACGTTAGCTCCCGGGGGGCAAATTTCCACCCCCCCCAAGGGTCAAGTTTGAAAGGGTCCGGGCAATTCCAATCCCCCCGGGGGGTCCTTTCCCCCCTCCCATGGGGGAGTCAGTTTAACCCTCAATTTTGGGCCCCGTTTCCCCCCCACCATGGGGTCATTGAAGGGGTTTTTCCCCTCCCCCCCTTGGGGGCCGTTTTTACCCTCCCATTTTCCAAAAGTTTTTCATTAAGGGGGCCCCGGTTCCATCCCCGGGGCCGGCTCTTCCCCCCCCTACCCCGGGGGGGAAGTTTTAGGGGTTTTTAAGCCCATCCCCTTCGGTCCGTTCCCCCTCCCCCCCAATTTCCCCCCCCCAAGGGTTTCCAGTTAATAAGGGGGGTCGGTCAATTTCCCCCCCGGGGCCAAAATTTCCCCCCCCAACCAGGGGAGTTCCCCCCTTAGGGGCTCGGAACCATTCGGTTACCCCCCCGGGGGTTTTCCTCCCCCCCAAGGAGGGATCATTTAAAAAGGAAGGCCCCGGTCCCCGTGAAAGGGTTCCCCCCTCCCTCCCCAGAGGAAAAAGGGGGGGGAGCTCGGTCAATTTGGGGACCCGGGTTTTCCTCCAACCCAGAATTTATTTGAGGAGCTCGGTCATTTTTGGGAGCCGGTTCTTTCCCCCCCACATCCAAGGAGTCAGTTGAGGAAACCTGTCATTCGGGGGCCCGGCCCCTCCTCCACAAACCAGAGGAGTCAGTTTTTTGGGGCTCGGGGCATTTGGGAGCCGCGCTCCTCCAATCCAAGGAGTCCAGTTGGGGGGAGGGTCGGGCAAATTTTTTGGGGACCGGTTCTCCCTTTCCCCATCCAGAGGAAATCAGTTGAGGAGCTTTGGGCCCTTCGGGGAGCCGGTTTCCCCCACATCCAGAGGAGTCAGTTTAAGGGGGGGCCCCCCCGGTCAAAATTACGGGAGCCGCTGGGTCCCCCCCCAAACATTAACCCCCCGGGGGGGTTTTAATCAGTTGAGGGGCTCGGTCATTCGGGAGCCGTCTCCTCCACAACCAAAGGATCAGTTGAAGGGAAGGGGACGGGGTTTTAATCCGGGGGAGGAAGCCGGGTTTTTCTCCTCCACATCCAGAGGAGTCCCGTTTAGGGCTCGGTCCCTTTTCCCGGGGGCCGCTGCTCCTCCACATCCAAGGGAGTCAGTTGAGGAGCTCGTTTGGGGGTTCCCCTAAAACGGGGAGCCGGTTTCCCCCCTCCCACATTTCCCGAGGAGTTTTAGTTGAGGAGCCTTTGGGGCATTTTCGGGAGCCGCTGCTTTCCCCCACATCCGAGGAGTCATTTAGGAGCCCTCAGGGGGCTGTTTCCCCTTCGGGGAGGGCCCCTTTGGGGGTCCTCCACATCCAGAGGGGGTTTAGTTGAGGACCCGGTTCATTCGGGGCCGGTTCTCCTCCACAATCCAGAGGAGTCAGTTTTAGGACTCGGTCCCTTTTTGGAGGCCCCGGGTTTTCCTTCCCCCAAAAAAGAGGGGTCAGTTGAGGAGGCCGGGCAATTTGGGGGCCCCGGGTTTTCCTCCACATCCAGAGGGGTTCCCGTTGAGGAGCTCGGTCAATTTTGGGAGCCTTCTCTCCCCATCCAAAAGGGGTCAGTTTGGGGGGACTTCCCCCGGTTCCCCAAACCGGGAGGCCGGTTTTTCCCCCTCCACATCCAGAGGAGTCAGTTGGGAGCTCGGTCCCCCTTTGGGGGCCCCCCTTCTCCTTCCCCATCCAGAGGAGTCAAATTTTAGGAGGGCCTTTGGGGTGTTTTAAATCGGGGGGCCGGTTTTTCCCCCTCCACACCGAGGAAATCCCCGTTGAGGACCGGTCATAACGGGAGCCGGTTTCTCCCCACATCCAGAGGAGTCAGTTGAGAGCTCGGTTTATTTGGGAGCCCCCTTCTCCTCCCACATTCCCCAAAAGGGGTCATTTTAGGAGCTCGGGTTATTCGGAGCCGGTTCTCCTCCCACATCCAGAGGGGCAGTTGAGGACTCGGTCCATTCGGAGCCGCGGGTCCTCCACATCCAAGGAGTCAGTTGAGGGGCCCCGGGTTTTATTCGGGGGGCCGGTTTTTTTCCCCCACCCCCGAGGATCAGTTGAGGAGGGGCCTCGGTCATTCGGGAACCGGTTCTCCTCCCCCATCCAGAGGAGGGCGGTTTAGGAGCTCGGGCATTTCGGGGGCCGGTTCTCCACACATCCTGAGGGGTCCCGAATTGAGGAGGGTCGGTCCCTTCGGGAGGGCCCGGTTTTTCCTCCACATCCCGAGGAGTCATTGAGGACTCGGGGCATTTTTGGGAGCCGTTTCTTTCCCCCACATCCGAGGAGTCATTGAGGAGCTCCGGGCAAATTGGGACCGGTTCCCCCTCCACACCAGAGGAGTCAGTTGAGGAGCTTTTTCCTTCGGGAGCCGGGTTCCCCCTCCACAAACCGGGGGAGTCGTTGAGGAGCCTCGGGGGTTTCCCCCCTTGGGGCGGGGAGCCGCTTGGGGGGTTCCTCCCCCAAAATCCAAGGAGTCAGTTGAAAGGGGCTCGGTCATTTTGGGAAACCGCTGCTCCTCCACAATTTCCCGAGGGGTCCTTTAGGAGGGTCCCGGGCATTCGGGAGCCGCTGCTCCCCCACACCAGAGGAGTTTATTTGAGGAGCCCCGGGCATTTTGGGAGCCCCCGCTCCTCCCCCATCCAGAGAGTTTAGTTGGGAGCTCGGGCATTCCGGGGGCCGGTTCCCCCACCCTTTCCCGGGGGAGTCGTTAGGAGGGCTCGGGCATTTTGGGAGCCGCTGGGTCCTTTCCCCATCCGAGGAGTTTAGTTTAAAGGGGCTCGGTCCCCTTTCGGGAGCCGGTGCTCCTCCACATCCAGAGGAGTCAGTTGAGGAGCTCGGTCATTCGGGAGCCGCGGGTTCTCCTCCCCCATCCAGGGAGTCAAATTTAGGAGGCTCGGCTCAAACGGGGGGCCGGTTCTCCTCCACATTCCGAGGAAATATTGAGGACTCGGTCCATTTCGGGAGCCGTTTTTTCCTTCCCCCATCCTGAGGGAGGTTTAGGGTTTTAATAAAGGGGCTTTTTGGGGCCCCTTCGGGAGCCGGTCTCCTCCACATCCCATTAAGTGTCATTGGGAGGGCCTCCTCCCCTTCTTTGGGGGCCGGGGTTTACCCCCCCTCCACATCCGGGATTTAGTTGAGAGCCGGGCAAATTTGGGACCGGTCCCTCCACATCCAAAGGGGTCAGTTTTAGGAAACTCGGTCTTCGGGAGCCGTTCTTTTTTTCCCCATCCAGAGGAGCAGTTGAGGGGGGCTTTTCCCCCGGTTCCCCTAAAAATTTGGAGCCGGTTTCCCCCCTCCACCCTCCGAGGAGTCCCGTTGAGGAGCTCGTTCCCTTCGGGACCGGTTTTTTCCTCCACATCCGAGGGTCAGTTGAGGGGGCTCGGTCAACGGGAGCCGGTTTTTTCCCCCTTTCCTTTTTTGGGGGCCCACATTTCCCCCTGAGGAGTCAGTTGAGGAGGGCCGGGCCCTTTTCCCGGGGGCCCCGGTTTTTTCCCCCCACATCCGAAAGGGTCAGTTTGGAGGAGCCGGCCCCCCCATTCGGGATTTTCCGGGGTTCTCCCTTTCCCCATCCCGAAAGGGGTCAGTTGAGGAGCTCGGTCAATTCCCGGGGGCCGGGTTTTTCCCCCCCCCATCCAGAGGGGTCAGTTTGAGGGGCTTTGGGGGTTTTTCCCCTCCTTCGGAAGGGCCTCCGGGGGGTTTCCCCCCCTCCGGGGGTTTAAGAGGGTTTTGGGAGGTTTTTCCCCCCCGGGGTTTAAGGGGGGATTTTAATTGGGTTTAGTTCTTCCAGCCGGTTCTTCCCCAACCCGGGAAAATCCGGAAACCCCTTAAAAAACTTTGGGGGGCTGGTTTTTTTACCCCGGTGTTGGAAAAATTTTAAAACCCCGGGCCCCTTCCGCTGCTTAAAGGAAATTCTGGGGTGGGTTTTTTTTCTTTCCCCCCCTTTTAAAGGGAGGTTTTTTTGTTCCTTTTTTTAAAGAATGTTTGATCTTTTCCACCAAGAACCATTAATGAATCTACATCAATAAATACATGAACTCCTCGTTCTAGATTCTAGAGAGAACATCTGGTTTAGAGGTAAATAGAACGAGGTTTTATTTTTTACTTTTGCTGATAAAAGTTCAGCTGCTGAACTGCCTGAATCTCTCTTTATTTTTTCCTCTAAATCATAAAAAATTTTGACAATAAAAATTAAATTTCCCCCAAAAGGTTTTTAACCAATCCCTTCCCGAAAAACAAATCCAAACGGCGAAAATTAAAACTGCTGGATTATAATCCGTAATATTCTCAAGATTTCCTTCACATCTAATCCATATTTAATGCGCTCAGTCTGTTGCTCTTTGTTCCTCAATCAGCTGATGATTTCCCACCATCTCCAGGGTCAAAGGTCAGCCTGCATCACTTCACTCACCTGAGCCGCTGCTGGAGGTCTGCCTCTGTCCTCGCGCTGCTCTGGAATAGAAGGATGAAAGAAGAGCTGCCGACAAACGCCTGGGTGACGTCACTGCCGTCATCGGCAGGCTGAGGTGTTGACCCCCCGCCCCCTCCCCCCAGTGTCTGAGAGGAGCAGCAGAACCAACTGGGCTCAGAGGAGGAGAGCGGCGCCATCTGGTGGCAGCAGGTGGAACATCAGCACTGGGCATAGAAAACCTGATGTAGAAAAGACCCTCAGCTCACAGCTGGACCCAGCGAGGTGAACCGAACTGATCTCTATTTATTCCTGGATTGCTGATGGCCTGAAAATGTAAAAACTAAAAGTCACCTGCCGCCATCTTGGTACTCCCTACTCCCACAGACATAAATGCCAACCAGGCTGCAAAAACAAGCAGTTTTCCTGCTGTGGAAAGAAGTTTCATTACTGATGAAAAAACTGTATCTTAATGTGAATTCACCCTAAATGTAAAAGTTCTATTATTAAAGGTATTTAATCAGTGGATAGTTCATGTGTGTGTTTTCATTAATACTTGTTTAGTTTATGCAAATAATCCGATTTTTGTTGTAACTAAGATCAAAAAGCAAAATTTCAATTTATGTTTCCTGTTATTTTATCAATTAATGTGATTTTTCTAGAGTAGAAACTGAAGCTCTGTGGATTTATTGAATTAGTTCATTAATTTAGCTCTATTGTAAATCTGTCAGATTTAAAGGCTGATGGTTATGACGTCATTCACCATCTGCAGGCAGGTTTAACAGACATGGACCTGTAACTCAGTCTGGATGGAAAATCTTTTAATTATAAATTAAATGTAATAAATACATGTTTATTACATGAACATCATCTGTATTATTGTGAACACATTAATTTTATTGTGATGGATTATATGTTATATTAGATGATTTATAGACTTCATAATGACTCTGTGATGTGATAGATCTATTTATTTATTCTAGGTTAAGTTTATCTACTGTTGCTATGAAACAGCCAGTCTGTGTCAAACTGATGAATTTATCTTTATTTTAGAAATCTGAAAATGAGAACATCATGGTTGTTTGATCCTGTAGCACAGATTGTTTACAGTGACCGGTTTAACTAGGGAGTACCAATATGGCGGCCGGTGGCTTCCCTTTAACCAGCCAATCAGCGGGTTGCTGACCAGTAAATTCACTCAGATCAGAACCGAAGCTAAAGGTTCTGATGGGAACTGATCCCATATTATAACTTTATTAACATGTAGATCAGAATCATCAGGATGTTTTGATCTCAGATCTGCAGCTTCTTCTTCTGGCTTCAACCATAAACAGGAGGATGCTGCCCCCTGCTGGAGCTCTGGGTGCGCTGCAGTCCTTTGGTCTGATTCTCATTCAGATAAAGACCCTGAGCGGGTCGGAACCAGGGGTCACCAGAACCAGGGGTCACCAGAACCAGAGGTCACCAGAACCAGAGGTCACCAGAACCAGGGGTCACCAGAACCAGAGGTCACCAAGGCAGAGCCGGCAGGCACCAAGGGGCCCTGAAGGGCCCCTTGGTGCCGGCACTCAGTGGGCCTACAGTAGAATATCTCACCAGTGGGATAAGTTTGAAATTTATCTTATTCTGTTTCTCTTCTTTTTTTAAATAATTTATAGAGAATTTCAAAATGATATTAAAAATATTAGGGAAGAAAAATAATAAAAAAGGTTAATAATGTTTGATGTTCAGGTGAGCCTTACTAATGGGGTCAGAAGTGGCCCTCAGCAGGTTGGTGACCCCTGACCCCTGACCTGAACAAACACTGAGACCCCCCCCCCCCCCCCCCCCCCCCTCCGATATTTTTACACTTTTTATTTTTAACTTTCGTGTTTTTCCACAAACAGATGAAGAGGAAACTTGGCCCCGCCCACATTGTCTCTTTATGGCACCGTTGCCATGGCGATCACCAAACTGGAGCTGCTAATGGCTAATTGGTCACTTCGGTTGTCATGGCGATGGATTTCTCACAGGAAGCAGGCGCCTTAGTTTCACAATAAAAGTCTGAAGCTGCTCAGTTTTTCCATCGAATTTGCTGCAAGAAAAAAAAAGAAAAAATGAGATCAGATGAGTCCAAGGATGGTGGAGGCTAAGGGTGGGGGTGCTCTAAGGGTGGGGGCGCTCTAAGGGTGGGGGCGCTCTAAGGGTGGGGGCGCTTTAAGGGTGGGGGCTCTCTAAGGGTGGGGGCTGTTTAAGGGTGGGGGCTCTCTAAGGGTGGAGGCTAAGGGTGGGGGCGCTCTAAGGGTGGGGGCGCTCTAAGGGTGGGGGCGCTCTAAGGGTGGGGGCTCTCTAAGGGTGGGGGTTCTTTAAGGCTGGGGGCTCTCTAAGGGTGGAGGCTAAGGGTGGGGGCTCTCTAAGGGTGGAGGCTAAGGGTGGGGGCTCTCTAAGGGTGGGGGCGCTCTAAGGGTGGGGGCTCTCTAAGGGTGGGGGTTCTTTAAGGCTGGGGGCTCTCTAAGGGTGGAGGCTAAGGGTGGGGGCTCTCTAAGGGTGGAGGCTAAGGGTGGGGGCTCTCTAAGGGTGGGGGCGCTTAAGGGTGGGGGCTCTCTAAGGGTGGGGGTTCTTTAAGGCTGGGGGCTCTCTAAGGGTGGAGGCTAAGGGTGGGGGCTCTCTAAGGGTGGAGGCTAAGGGTGGGGGCTCTCTAAGGGTGGGGGCGCTCTAAGGGTGGGGGCGCTTTAAGGGTGGGGGCGCTCTAAGGGTGGGGGCTAAGGGTGGGGCGCTCTAAGGGTGGGGGCGCTTTAAGGGTGGGGGCGCTCTAAGGGTGGGGGCGCTCTAAGGGTGGAGGCTCTCTAAGGGTGGAGGCTAAGGGTGGGGGCTCTCTAAGGGTGGGGGCGCTCTAAGGGTGGAGGCTAAGGGTGGGGGCTCTCTAAGGGTGGGGGCGCTCTAAGGGTGGAGGCTCTCTAAGGGTGGAGGCTAAGGGTGGGGGCTCTCTAAGGGTGGAGGCTAAGGGTGGGGGCTCTCTAAGGGTGGGGGCGCTCTAAGGGTGGGGGCGCTCTAAGGGTGGGGCGCTCTAAGGGTGGGGGCGCTTTAAGGGTGGGGGGCGCTCTAAGGGTGGGGGCTCTCTAAGGGTGGGGGCGCTCTAAGGGTGGAGGCTAAGGGTGGGGGCTCTCTAAGGGTGGGGGCGCTCTAAGGGTGGAGGCTCTCTAAGGGTGGGGGCGCTCTAAGGGTGGGGGCTCTCTAAGGGTGGGGGCGCTCTAAGGGTGGGGGCGCTCTAAGGGTGGGGGCTCTCTATGGGTGGAGGCTCTCTAAGGGTGGAGGCTCTCGCTAGGTGGTGTAGACATGTCCCCACCAGGCCAAAGCTGGTGGGGACATGTCTACAACGGGCCAACATGTCCCATCCAGCTTTGGCCTCGGTGTCACAAAGTTACTCCTGTGGATGAGTCACATGATAAAAGAGGAAACTCCTCCTCCTCTTCCTCACTGGGTTGCTGAGCAACTCCTCGATCTTCCTCTCCTCAGCCGATCCTCGCTCCACCTTCTTGCGATATTCTGCCAGCAGATGTCGGTCCTTCATGTCTCGGTACGTCTGATTGGCCGACAGAAAGAAGGCGTTTCCATTGGTTTAATTGTCTGACATCAGCAACCAATCAGAGCAGAGGGACTCACGTTGATGACGATGTCGTGACACTTATGTTTCTGAGCCAAAGTGATCCTCAGCTCGGCGTCCTGGACCAGCGCCACGTACTCCTGCAGAACCTGCCATGGACCAAGAACAGCATCAGAACCTGGGCATGCGGTACCTGGGGGGCTGTGACTCCGCCCACTCACATGTGTAGGGGCGGAGTTCTTCTGCAGGATGTCGACGACTCGCTGGAAGCTCAGCGGCGATTTCTTCTTGGCGAAGCCGAGCCAGTTCCTGCTGCTGAACAGGGCGTCCACGTCGCTCCAGTTCTTCAGCTTGGCCCGCGCCGCCAGCGCCGTCGTAAAGTACTGCTTCTCTGAGATCTGAGGTCACAGGTGGACCGGGTCAACCCGGAGGTCAAAGGTCAAAGGTCAGACTGTTTCTGTTCTCACCTTAAATGTCTGACGGACGTTTCCTGGACTGCTGAAGGTTCCCTGGAGACAAAAACCAGTTATTCTGACCAGAACCAGTTAAACATGAACCAGTTTAATCTGAACCAGTTTAACCAGAAACAGTTTAATCTGAAACTGTTTAACCTGAAACAGTTTAACCGGAACCAGTTTAACCTGAACTAGTTTAATCTGAAACAGTTTAACCGGAACTAGTTTAACCAAAAACAGTTTAACTGGAACCAGTTTAACCTGAACTAGTTTAACCAGAAACAGTTTAATCTGAACCAGTTTAACCAGAAACGGTTTAACCAGAACCAGTTTAACTGGAACCAGTTTAACCTGAACTAGTTTAACCAGAAACAGTTTAATCTGAACCAGTTTAACCAGAAACTGTTTAACCAGAACCAGTTTAACTGGAACCAGTTTAACCTGAACTAGTTTAACCAGAAACAGTTTAATCTGAACCAGTTTAACCAGAAACTGTTTAACCAGAACCAGTTTAACTGGAACCAGTTTAACCTGAACTAGTTTAACCAGAAACAGTTTAATCTGAACCAGTTTAACCAGAAACTGTTTAACCAGAACCAGTTTAACTGGAACCAGTTTAACCTGAACTAGTTTAACCAGAAACAGTTTAATCTGAACCAGTTTAACCAGAAACTGTTTAACCAGAACCAGTTTAACCAGAAACTGTTTAACCAGAACCAGTTTAACTGGAACCAGTTTAACCTGAACTAGTTTAACCAGAAACAGTTTAATCTGAACCAGTTTAACCAGAAACTGTTTAACCAGAAACGGTTTAACTGGAACTGGTTTAACCGGAACCAGTTTAACTGGTTCTTAAATAGTCTGGTTTAACTAACCAGGGTTAAACTAACTCAGCTAATCTTTAGTTATCTGCTTGATGCTGCGGTTTCCTCCCAGTCTGAACTGGTTCTGACCTCTGGTTCGTTGTAATGGTAGAAGCAGCAGTAATAGAGGGTGGTGATCAGCGGCATGTTGAGGATGGAAGCTTTTCTGGGACATTTCTGGAAGATCTCCACCTTTCCTTCTCGCTCCGCCTTCCGGTCCGCCGCCTGAAGGAGCCGCAGAATAAACCGGTTTATGCAAAAGAGAATTCAGGATTTACGGTTCAGGATTTCAACTGGATTTAATTCTAATGGCTGAAAAGAAAAGAAGCTCCTGGAAGCAAGAATGACGGCTGGAGGACACGGCGAGGCTGGAGGACACGGCGAGGCTGGAGGACACGGCGAGGCTGGAGGACACGGCGAGGCTGGAGGACACGGCGAGGCTGGAGGACACGGTTTGAAGGAGACACTCGGGGTCCCAGAAAGCCGTTAAGGTCAGGATGCTGGCTGCTGTATCCCAGCAGCAACAGGGGGAAACAGTCATAGTGATCCGGTTCTGACCCGGGTCTGATCCGGTTCTGACCCGGTTCTCACCTCGATGATGATCTGCCGCTCCAGCAGAGTGTAGTGATCCTGAATGTGAGCCAAGTCCTCGGCAGCAAACTGGAGGCTGAAAAAGAACAAAGGAGGAAAATGTTTCCTGTTTCCTGCTTCCTGTTTCCTGTTACCGTTTCCTCCTCACTTCCTTCATCGCCTCCTCCTCCCTAACTTCCCTCCCTGGTTTCCTCCTTCCTCACCTGAGACAGCTCTTCAGGAAGTCCCGCCTCTTGTTTTCATCCATGATGTTCTTGTGTTCTTTGTACTGTAGCAGCTGTTACCATGGAAACAGATATGTCACGTCAGCATCACGCCGAGCCGAGCCCAGCCTCGGTGCTAACGACTTACCGCCGCCTCCTCCGTCCGGCCCAGCGCCCTGAGGAGCAGCAGAAGAAGAAAAGAGACGTAAACGAAGCGAACAGACCAGAAGCGGCGAGTCGGGGCGAGTCCTGACCTGAGCAGCTCCAGCAGCAGCCGCTGCTCCCGGGTCTCCGTCAGGAGGTGGATCAGGTGCCGCAGCGCCGTCTGCCTGGACTCCATCTCTCTGAACAGAACCTCTGAGCACAGAAAGCAGAAGCGTGAAAAGATGGCGTCCAGCCGCGGCGGCGGGAGCAGCAAACGGACACGGACCTTTACAGAGAGTCCTCTTCAGAAAGATCAGAACCTGCAAGCAAACAGAAGGAGTGTCACTGGGTCGGGTCAGAACAGCTCAATGATCAGCGACGGGTCAGAACTTTACGGCGGTGATGGCGTTCCCATCATGGGCGGCGACGGCCAGATCCAGGAGCAGCAGTTTGTCCTGAAGGGAGCGGAACTTCTCCAGAGACACGGCCTGCGGGACACAAACAGGAAGTGGTTCTGATTGGCCGGCAGCGGCGCCGCCAGAGGTCAGACCGGAGGCTCACCTTCCCCTGCTGCAGCCGCTTAACCGTCTCCTCAGGCGTCCAATCGCTGAGCAGGTCCTGACGGGTGACATCATCATCAGCAATCAAAGGCAACGGTCAGATTACAGCTGTAATCAGATTACCTTGTACTCAGATTTGGGTTTTCGGAGTTCTGGTGTGTAGAGCCGCAGCGCCGAGTCTCCGAGCACTGAAAGAGAGAAAGGTCACGTCAGAGCGCCCCCCGCTGGACGCGGGTCAGCGTCAGAGCGCCCCCCGCTGCGGCGCCATGGCGGACTCACTGTCGCTGAAGCTCTGCAGGTTTCCTCCTCGGCCTTTCCCTGCAGATGAAGCAGAATCAGTCACATGATGGCGGCTCGGTCACATGACTCCGCCCCCGCCGCCAGCTTCTCACCTTTGAACAGAGAACTCAGAGAGAGTCCAGACTGGCTTTTGTTGAGTGACGGCGTCTCCGTGGAGATCTTGGGGAAGGCGGGCTCTCTGTCTGCTCTCTGATTGGACGCCGCCATCTCTTTAACGGACCATGATATACCTGACGACACGACAACCACAGTCAGCGGCCAATCACGGCGCAGGATTCCCGGCGGTGGGGGCTGACTTACTGCCGACGGGTTCTCCGCTCCAGCTGACCCTCTCCCACTCCTCCTCCTCTCCGTCGATCAGCGGGCCGATGCTGCTCACCGCCATTTTGGACTCCTTCAGCTGAGCGTCAGACACAAACCGGGTCGGTTCACAAAACTAAACCCACCAGGCTTCAGCAGCTGTTACCATGGTAACCGCCGTGATTGAGGAGGAGGCCCGATCTGGAAAGTGTGGAGTGCCTTTAGAAGCAGCCTCCACCACCGCAGACTCTGCTGGATGCGGTTCCAGGCTTTGACTAGGCCACAGGTCTGTGATGCAGCTTAGCTTTCCCACAGCATGATGCTGCCACCACCATGCTGTCCAGTAGGGATGCCGTGCTGACCCTGGCATTCTGCTCTATGGGGCCCAGGAAGGGACAAAAACATTCATTTGTTCTCATGGAGGTCCTCCCTGTGGCCGGAAGAAAATACTAACAGCTCAGAGGCGCCTCCTGGAGGCAGTTTGGAGAAACGCTCTCCCTGTGAGGAAGATGAAGCAAAGGAGGAGGAGGAGGAGACCACCTCCTTCGGCTTTAGCTCTGAGCTCCAGCAGCTAACATGGAGGAGTTCTCCAGCTGCAGGGGAACCATGACTCAGCAGGAGGTGGAGAATAAAGCCGCCGCTCTGAGGGCGACCATTAAAGGTCAGAGGTCAGAGAATAAACTCCTCCTGTTTGGGAGAAGATCCAGAAACCATCAGTGGGAACCAATCAGGATTTTCTGAACATGCTGTAGTTCCCAGATCACCTCCTGGACTCCTTTGATGGGAGACCCTTCCTCCTCCTCCTGCTCCTCCTCCATCACAGCACGGCCCAGGGCAGAGGAGAGCAGGGAGGAGCTGTAGCTCCCCCAGAGGCCTACAGCTCCCCCCTCCTCCTCCTCCATCCCAGCCTAGAGGAGAGCAGGAGGAGCTGCAGCTCCTCCCTCCTCCTCCTCCTTCTCCTCCCTCCTCCTCCTCCATCCCAGCCTAGAGGAGAGCAGGAGGAGCTGCAGCTCCCCCAGAGGCCTACAGCTCCTCCCTCCTCCTCCTCCATCCCAGCCTAGAGGAGAGCAGGGAGGAGCTGCAGCTCCCCCAGAGGCCTACAGCTCCCCCCTCCTCCTCCTCCATCCCAGCCTAGAGGAGAGCAGGAGGAGCTGCAGCTCCTCCCTCCTCCTCCTCCTTCTCCTCCCTCCTCCTCCTCCATCCCAGCCTAGAGGAGAGCAGGAGGAGCTGCAGCTCCCCCAGAGGCCTACAGCTCCTCCCTCCTCCTCCTCCATCCCAGCCTAGAGGAGAGCAGGGAGGAGCTGCAGCTCCTCCAGAGGCCTACAGCTCCGCCCTCCTCCTCCTCCATCCCAGCCTAGAGGAGAGCAGGAGGAGCTGCAGCTCCTCCCTCCTCCTCCTCCTTCTCCTCCCTCCTCCTCCTCCATCCCAGCCTAGAGGAGAGCAGGAGGAGCTGCAGCTCCTCCCTCCTCCTCCTCCTTCTCCTCCCTCCTCCTCCTCCATCCCAGCCTAGAGGAGAGCAGGAGGAGCTGCAGCTCCCCCAGAGGCCTACAGCTCCTCCCTCCTCCTCCTTCTCCTCCTCCTCCATCCCAGCCTAGAGGAGAGCAGGGAGGAGCTGCAGCTCCTCCAGAGGCCTACAGCTCCCCCCTCCTCCTCCTCCATCCCAGCCTAGAGGAGAGCAGGAGGAGCTGCAGCTCCTCCCTCCTCCTCCTCCTTCTCCTCCCTCCTCCTCCTCCATCCCAGCCTAGAGGAGAGCAGGAGGAGCTGCAGCTCCTCCCTCCTCCTCCTCCTTCTCCTCCCTCCTCCTCCTCCATCCCAGCCTAGAGGAGAGCAGGAGGAGCTGCAGCTCCCCCAGAGGCCTACAGCTCCTCCCTCCTCCTCCTTCTCCTCCTCCTCCATCCCAGCCTAGAGGAGAGCAGGAGGAGCTGCAGCTCCCCCAGAGGCCTACAGCTCCTCCCTCCTCCTCCTTCTCCTCCTCCTCCATCCCAGCCTAGAGGAGAGCAGGGAGGAGCTGCAGCTCCTCCAGAGGCCTACAGCTCCCCCCTCCTCCTCCTCCATCCCAGCCTAGAGGAGAGCAGGAGGAGCTGCAGCTCCTCCCTCCTCCTCCTCCTTCTCCTCCCTCCTCCTCCTCCATCCCAGCCTAGAGGAGAGCAGGAGGAGCTGCAGCTCCCCCAGAGGCCTACAGCTCCTCCCTCCTCCTCCTTCTCCTCCTCCTCCATCCCAGCCTAGAGGAGAGCAGGAGGAGCTGCAGCTCCCCCAGAGGCCTACAGCTCCTCCCTCCTCCTCCTTCTCCTCCTCCTCCATCCCAGCCTAGAGGAGAGCAGGAGGAGCTGCAGCTCCCCCAGAGGCCTACAGCTCCTCCCTCCTCCTCCTTCTCCTCCTCCTCCATCCCAGCCTAGAGGAGAGCAGGAGGAGCTGCAGCTCCAGCGGTTCTGGGTTTGATTATCAGAGGAAACTGGAACTTTCCTCCAGTCCCAGTTAAACCAGTAAACAGAACCAGAACCTCTACAGCAGTTAATCACTCTGCCTCCAGACTACATGACGTCACTTCCGGTCAGCAGCTTACCTTGCTGAGGTCATCATCAGCATCATCGAAGGTGAAGGCCTTGAACTTGGAGCTGTTCCAGTAGTCTTCCTCATCTGCCTTACTCTTCATCATCTGGACACAGAACCAAACATCACCCCCCCCCCCTTCATTAACTCACAGCTTCCGGTTCCGGTGAGCCCCGCTTCACCCTGACCGCCTCTGTTTTGATTAGTTAGCATGCTAGCAGCTAACAGAGGCGCCTGTTTTAGAGGTTTTCCCGCCAAAACAAACGGCTGAAAAAGATTAATCTCCCTGGAGACAAATGACGCATCAATAAAGACATGATTAGAATAAACCCACCATCGATCAGCTGCCACTTTATTCACCCGAAGGAGCTCCTCTTCTTCCCGGAAGGATACCTCACTGCTTCCTGGTTCGCGGTGGCTTCTGGGAGTTGTAGTGAATAAACACTGCGGTCCTGTTTGCCTCTGGTTGAGCTTCATGCAGCAGAACTCAGCCACCTTCTATGAACACTAGTTAGTTCATCTCACCATCACTAGTAAACGAGTCAATTAGTTAACACCATCACTAGTTAACGAGTCCACTAGTTAACTAGTGATGGTGTGATGAAGCCTCATTGAACCGGAGCTTCATGTGAAAATATCACCACCTACTGGTGGAAAGCAGAACTACACTTTTGGAATTTAATCTGAGATTTTGACATTTGACATTTTTAGTGATTGTTCTGAATAATAAAGTCTTTTGTAAGTTTCTTCGTGTGTAAAATGTCTTAAAATAGAAAAATAATTCAAGGTTCACAGTTTTTCTGCCATTTGAGTGAAATAAACTCAAGCAGTGAAAGTATTTGTGTAAATTGGCCAACGATGAGCAAAATTAAAGGTTTTAGTCATTATAGATTTTCCATAGTTTTTGGTTTTAATCTGATTGGAAGTTTTGTCTTGAACTAATTTCCTGGTTTCCCTGGAGAAAAAAAACCCGTAATATGTAGCCAACATTTGGAAGAAGAATGTTTTCAAGATGACTTGGATAATAGCGCGTTGTGACAAAACACCAGATACAGCACTGGGACTTGATCAACAGCCGATACCGCACCGTGACGTCACTAACCAGTAGGTGGCAGTAGTGTTCTTTGACAAACATGGATGCCTCCAGTAAAGCACATTCACATGAAAATTACTCTGAATTAAAAACACTGATCATTTATTGAACAGGATGGAATAATTTCAGATTTATTTATTATAATTTGATTTCTGAAAATGAGCGACTTCTCCTTTAAAGGCCAGCAGGTATATTAGGAAATGAATCCCAAGGTCAGACATTCAAAGTTCAGATAAAACCTAAAGCTTGATTTTAGACTCTAAAGACCATCAGAGAGTCCCTTTAAAAGGTTTCTATTCAAGGTTCCCTGAATGACAGGAAGTCCTCCAGATCAGCAGCCCCAGAGCATCACTCTACCAACTCCATGTTTGACTGTAGGCCTGAGGCAGCTGTTGATACTGCAGGCTGTGGAACTGTCCAATGGAAGCCATTTTTTCCCGTCTCTCCTTGCCTTTGTGGAATCATGACCTCTGACCCCCCAGATGAGTAACGGGTTACATTTCTCAGTCATTTTGGTAGGTCTGTTCCTCCAGAGGACGTTCTCCACTGGTCCAGGTTTGTTCCATAAGCCTATAGAGGTCCTCTCTGCGGCTCTGAAGTCAGAAACCTTGAATGAAAACCAAACTAAAGTTTAACGGACGGGATAATCCAGCCTAGAGTCAGGTTAGTTTGGAGCTATAACTCCTACCACCAAAGGAAAGCTTCTATTATTCGCTGCTGATGGATCTGAAACTTTTATCTTCTCAGACCAGAGGCGTCACTTTATTTTCCTGAACTGCCTCCTGCATGGGATTTTATTTTGAAAGTCCTTCCGCTGTGCA